TGCACCCCATAGCATCTCACAGTGCCCCACTGCACCCCATAGCATCTCACAGTGCCCCACTGTGCCCCATAGCATCTCACAGCATCTCACAGTGCCCCACAGCATCTCACTGCGCCCCATAGGATCTCACTGCGCCCCATAGATCTCATAGCATCGCACAGCACCCACAGCATCTCAGCACCCCACAGCACCCCATCACTGCGCCCCATCACTGCGCCCCATCACAGCGCCCCATCACAGCGCCCCATCACAGCGCCCCATCACTGCGCCCCACAGCCTCACCGGGTCGTCGGCCATCAGCGCCAGGCACTGCTCCAGCACGGCCTTTGTGATGTTGTAACCCGGCGGCAGCGAACGGAAAATCTGCGGGAGGAGAACCAGCGGCACTGAGAGACTGCAGGACGGACGGACAGCGCGGGACAGATGGACACTGCGGGACAGATGGACACTGTGGGACGGACAGACACCTCCTGCCCGACCCCCACCGAGAGACATTCGGACACCTCCTGTCCCCTGCAGGACAGACAGACGTTGCAGGATAGACAGACACCTCCTGCCAAACGACGCCATGGGACAGACAGACGCTTCCCACCCAAACCCGGCTGCACAGGACAGATGGAAACCGCTGGACAGACGGACGCCTGCTGTCCAACCCCACTGAGGGACGTAGTGACACAGCAGGACAGACGGACATCTCCTGCCCAACTCCAGTGAGGGACATACAGACACCACAGGACAGACGGACACCTCCTGCCCGATCCCCAGCAAAGGACGCACAGACACCTCCTGCGCGACCCCTGACCGCAGGACACAGACGCAGCAGGACTGACAGACACCCCGACCTCCGCTGACGGACAGACGGACCCTTCCCTCCTTCCTGCCCACAGCAGCGCTCACTGCAGCCCAGGGGGGGCTGCGGGCACACGGTGACCCCTGGGGGGGGGATGGGAGGAGCAGGGAGGGGGGGAGGGGGGACACCGACCTCGTGGGAGGAGAGCGGCTGCGTGTGAGCTGCGCCCGACGCCGTGGTGACCTCAGACATCCGCAGCATCGTCCGAACGATCTCACTGCTGGGCTGCAACGGGAACAGTGCTGGGCTGCAATGGGGGCTGCACAGCTGGGCTGCAATGGGGGCTGCACTGCTGGGCTGCAAGGGGAGCTGCAGGCTGGGCTGCAACGGGGGGCTGCACTGCACTCAGAGCAGCACCAAACGGCTGCCCAGAGCTGAGCTCTCCCCATAGCAGCATACAGCTGTGGGCAGCCCCCACCCCAGAGCAGGGTGTGGAAGCCTCTCCTCCCCCCCACCGCAGCCCTGCCCCGCCGTGGAGCTGTGCTGCAGGGACGTGGATCCCCCCAGCAGCCTGGTGTCCAGAGCCGCTCCACCATGGAGTCTGGCCACAGGAGAAGGCAAGGCT